CTACCAGCGACTCCAAAATCAACACCACACTCTCCATGTGGCTACCAGGGGTCTCAACACACCTGCCTTAGAGGGCCAGGTGGCTGATGTAAGTCAGCAGAGCAGGCCAAGGGGGAAAGCAAGACAGAGTAGTTGGAACGATGCCGAACTGTGACATGCTCACCCAAGGAAAGTGAAGTGTGTGGACATTTTATTGAACACACACCTAACCAGCAGGCCCGCGGCTTTGAGATCTCTTGCACAGCATCGCCACTCCTTCCTGGCAACTGGGCAATGCTGAGGACTTTGGAGTCTGGAAGGTTCTGGTCAGTCCACAAAGCAAGAGAAGTCAAAAGTTGCTACTTCTTGTTAGCAGTGACTTGCAAAGCAGCTTAGGTTCAAGTGACCCCCGCAGTGCACAGGTCAGGGCGTGGCATCGCTGAGCTAAACGTAATCTGCTCACTGGGAGAACAAGGCAGCTCATATTTCAGCAAAACATGGATATATTTCACAATCCTAAGAGAGAATGCAGCAGCAAATGGGGGCGGGGGCAGGGGAAACCCAAACTGGGTTTTCTGCTGAAAATCCAGTTGGGAATTTCTGCTGTGACCTACATTACTCTGCCGCTTTCCAGCCCCCCAACTTTCTCTCTCCTCAAGGAGGAGCAGCAGAACATAACGTATTTCCCAAAGTTAAATTACTCTGCAGAGAACCATCTTAATAATGTGCTAAATGACAGCACAGCAAATCACTGAAGCTGTCACCGATTTGCAGTCCAGTTTCCCTGAGCAACTTCTCGGAGTCTGAGCCTCCCTCCACGAACGAACGGCACCTCACATCTCCCTGGGTATCTCCGCCATCTGCCAAGTGTCACGTCTCTCAGTAAGCACCCTTTCCCCAAATGTCAGACGACGAACACAGCACGGGGTTTCCAAAAGATGTGGGCGTTGGGAGGCTGGCACTCACTCATCTGTTCCTTGTGTTGGGGAGTAGACTCTGGTCCCCCTCTGGGCCACACTGATATACAGAGTTCAAAATAGAAAAGAAATGCCCCACTTCCCACCGGCCTACTTTCCAATTCAGAGCTGGCATTAACAAGGGAGGCAACGGGAGGCAGAGGGACTGGGAGGAAAAACTCAACCTCCCCATTCTTCAACTCAGATTTGTGCAGATGGCAGATTACTTAGAAGTCATGATGCCTCTTATGGAACACAGTGAAATATGGACACGTAAAATGGAATTAAAAAATGGAAGAGTGTGTGTGAAAGCAGGTCCCATCTAATACTGGACTGAAACTTTTAAGTAGTATTTGTGAGGAAAAACACAAGCAATTTCTACCCACTGGCTTTTATCTTTCCTGCCCACCTTCTGAGCTCCCAGACTGGAATGGGACGACCATTCCTGAAGCCGATCAGTGGCCCTGTTCATAGAACACACAGGGGCACAGTGTGCAAACCAAAAGCATCATGAGTAACGTGGAGTGTCCGCAGATTCAAATGGAGGGGCCTTGGGAGCAGTGGGGAAGAGCCAGGACTGCAAACTCCAGAGCCGTCATGCCGGTAAGTGGTCCACCCAAATATATGACATAACCAGGCAAACGGCAGGGCAGGGGAGGCTGGCTCAGTGCCCGCGAGACAACAGGAGTTGGGGGTTCAGTGGACACGGGGCACCCAAGTGTGGGAGAGTGGGCGAATGGGGCTGTGACCAATTCTTCTGATTTTTCAAGAGAAGCTAGGCTGGGCATGGTGGCTCACACCTGTAATTGCAGCACTTTGGGAGGCTGAGGTGGGTGGATCACCTGAGGTCAGGAGTTCGAGACCAGCCTGGCCAACATGGCAAAACCCCATCTCTACTTAAAAAAATATATACAAAAATTAGCTGAGCATGGTGGCACGTGCCTGTAATCCCAGTTACTTAGAGGCTGAGGCAGGAGAATCGCCTGAACCCAGGAGGTGGAGGTTGCAGTGAGCCAAGATTATACCACTGCACTCCAGCCTGGGCAACAGAGTGAGAACTTGTCTCAAAAAAAAAGACGCTTGACATCTGGATTTTTTTTATCTGACACCTAATTTTTTGATGTTGACAAGTACTTCAATTAAGAAAAATAAATAACAAAACAAAACCCCACTATACTGGCTAAATAAAATAAGTTGGAGAATCAGGCTCAGTCCGCAGGCTGCAGGCTTCCCACCTACATCCCAAAAACATGGGCTATGGTGCCAAACACCCTAGGATCCCATTGTGCTGGGTGGGGACCCCGGGACCAGCCAGGTCACCCCTTTGAGCCTCACTTTCCTCATCACTATGAAATAGATTTCACTGGCTCTCCAGAAGACGAGATGAGATGGGTGCTGTGAAATGCGAGGCTGGCATCCACAGGAAAACGGGGGGCCCTCTCTTTAGTGAACAATCCAGTTACGTTCAGTAACTCAAATGGACTTTCCAGATCCTAAATCAACATTTGAAAGAACCAAGGAAAAAAATCCGTCAAGATTTATAAGAATCATAATGCTTTGGGGTTTATTTCCTTAGCCAGGAGATTTTTGTTTTGTTTTTTTTAACCAGGAATCTCTCAGGCTCGGCTTTCCAGCTGAGACAGCAGCCTCGCTGCTTTCTGTGGGCAGCACATGGAGAAAGGACACGATCACGTGGAGATTCGTCAGCACGGGCAAGGCTTGGCTGTGCCTCATCCATCATTGCCCCAAAATGAAACAATCCGTACATTCCGACCTGTAATCCCATCCTCCTCAAAAAAGAAGAAGAAGAAGGGAGCAGTGTGATTTGGAACAGCGAGGAACGCCAAAGAGCTTTTATTAAAAGAGCTGTTTAATTTCAACTGGGGTCTAGACCAACATGTAGTGAAAATTCCAGCATCGACACTGTGTCTTTTGCCACAGTCTCCCACTGAAATTCTTGTTCTGTAAAGTCCATACATTGAACCTTGTGTTCTGTGAGGTTTCTCTCTCAGCGCTGACTGATGGCAACCAGCGTGGCTGAGATTCACATCACGCCGAGAGGCTGGCATTAACGTGCTGTTTTTACAATTCAGCACACGAATGTTTGGGAAACACTGGACCAGAGAGGCCTGGGCTGTGGAGCCCTGTGGGGGATGGGGGACACTGACTTGCAGATGGGGCAGTGCCTCCTGCTCACACTGTCAACATCAGGAGCATCTTAGGAGCAACTTGCTAACTCCGCTTTCACCGGGGAATTCAGCCGATGTGCAGTGACTCCGAGACACACCCCAGGCTGCCTGTAAGCGGATGCCTCTAAGAGAATGAGAACTCCTCAAGTGAACTATCGCGGCCATTTCCAAATACTGAGATCAAGGCCCTGGCATCACAAATAAAAGGAGAAAAGGAAAATAAAGCGTTCTAGATACTGTCGTCTATTCAGGATAAAAAGGCACCTCTTATCAAAGGCAGCACGACACTATGATGTCTTCTCACAAAAACCCTGGAACAATGAGAAAATCTAAGCAACCATCTTGGAGACAATTTCAAAGGGCCTAGGCAGGGAAGACGGGCAGCTGCTCATGTCTATCTGGATGGTACTGCCGGGCACACCCCACAGACAGAAGCACAGCCCACAGAAGCCGGCTCCCAAAGGTGCACCCCACGGAGAGGAGCAGAAATCACCCTCTGTTTTGAACCCAGCATCACCATCAGAACAACTGTTAAAGAGCTACCGTGACAGGAAACTCTTATTTTACCCCAGCAAATCACACAGATCACACCGAGCCAGAACAGTGCTTCTCGAATGACTCCCGATCCCACAGGTCTTCTCTACGGACTTTCACGTTTCATGTTTCTATTACGATAAGATTTTAGAAATAATAGAATTACATTCTGTAGCATCTGAAGACTATAAAAACCAAGTTGGGCTTGATGATCTTGGTTCCCCTAATTCCAAGGATGTAAACGTCAGAGGTCCCAGGTTATGACAACAGAGTGGACTAATCAGTGGTAAGGCAGTGACATCAAAAGGACGGCCCGATGTTTCCTGGCAATGGGACCAGAGCAAAGGGGTGGATGAGGTCAGCATGCCTGGCATGTGGCAGGTGAAAAGAAGTCACTGCATGACATTTAGAGCCAAGATTAGCTTTCTTGAAAACAGTAGCATCCATTGGGTTAATTGACAATTTTGAAGTGTAACGATTTTTTTTTTTTTTTTTTTTTTTTTTTTGAGACGGAGTCTTGCTCTGTCGCCCAGGCTGGAGCGCAGCGGCGCAATCTCAGCTCACCGCAACCTCTGCCTCCTGGGTTCAAGCGATTGTCCTGCTTCAGCCTCCCAAGTAGCTGGGACTACAGGTGCCCGCCACCATGCCCAGCTAATTTTTGCATGCCCGGCTAATTTTTGTACTTTTAGTAGATATGGGATTTCACCATGTTGGCTAGGCTGGTCTCGAACTCCCGACCTCATTGATCCACCCACCTCGGCCTCCCAAAGTGCTGGGATTACAGGTGTGGGCCACCATGCCCAGCCTGAAACATAATGATTTTCTAAGTGCATAATATGTAAACTTTTTTTTTTTTTTTACTTTTTCAAGAGAAGGTATTTAAATAATATTAATGTTCATTTTTAAGTAATACTCATATAAAAATAATTTAAGTTAATATGGTACGAGTCTGGGAGAACTTTTCCTTGGGTTCATCACCCAAGCTTGAGAAACACTGACACAATTTGTTTCAGTTTTGGAGCACCCAGTGGGCTGTGTAGAAAATGAATCTTTCCTTGATTGAAATGTGTCAAAGTATAAAATCACAGAGCCCTGAGTTTATTTGTGAGCCTGAAGTCAACAATGCTCATTTGCAGGCCTGCTCTCTTCCTATCCTTTAGAAGCTCCAAAGCACTGAGGCCCGGCCTCCATCGCGGCACCTGGAACAGGCCCTGGAGGTCGCCTGGGTCCCGTGGCGACCAGGGCATCACGGAGAGCCACTTTCCTCCCCAACCTTTATAAAACAACCAAGAACGAAGTGCTGGCAGGGCTGGCGGCGCGTGCCTGTGGGAGCAGTACTTACACAAAGAAGGGCATCAGCTGGATGAGGGTCTCCTTCTTGGGGCTGGCGGCGAACTCGGGGACCATCTGGATGACTTTGTTCATGACGCTGCGCAGGTAATTCTGGAGCTGCTTTCTTCGTTCCTCCACAAACTTGGCATCCTGAGGAAACACAAAACATCTTCGCTCAGATATGTGTTCCTCACCTGGTCAGAAACGACCCCATAGAACAGGCGATCACCCATCAGCGCCATCCCGGCAGCCAACACTGATTGAGCAACCGCCTTGTGTGACTGGTCCCTAAGCCCTTACACGTATCATCACATGGAATAACAAGAAAGATGCCCACGATATTATTATTAAGTGGAGGAAAAGCAGGTCCAAGACCTACATCTGGTGTGTTCCTATTCAAATAGGACGGTTATTTATGGGGCACCAAAACGTGCCAAATGTGGTGCTGGGGTCAGGGGTAGGACAATGAACGTGCTGCTGTGGCCTTCGTGGAGTTCACGGGCCAGCGAGGGAGACACAAATCAATCCAGCGACCACACAGGTCAGCGGGTAATTATCAGTCACACCAAATGCCACTCCAGAGCACGGGCTTAATGTTGCCTTCAGAGGAGTTTCTCGAAATACAAATCAACCGCCACTGATTAAGAAAGAGATTTTATTAATAAACAATTTCTGTGTTCTCTTGAAAAACTAGGATGCGTGGGACACAATGCCGAGGTGGGTGGATCACCTGACAATGGGAGTTCGAGACCAGCCTAACTAACAAAGAGAAACCCCGTCTCTACTAAAAATACAAAATTAGCCGGGCATAGTGGCACATGCCTGTAATCGCAGCTACTCGGGAGGCTGAGGTAGGAGAATCGCTTGAACCCACGAGGCAGAGGTTGTGGTGAGCCAAGATGGCGCCATTGCACTCCAGCCTGGGTAACAAGAGCGAAACTCCATCTCTCACACACATACACACACACACACACAAACCTAGGATGTATGGTAGCATGGCCCCACCCATAGGTCCATACCAGCCTGGGCTGTGCAGCGTGGCCCCAGAAGGCAGGCACAGGTTCCCAGGTCTGAGCAGTTTCCACCACTCAGGGATCAGGGACTCTGTGCTCCAGAACCCCCTCACTCATCGTGCAGCCCCCACCACCCCCGTGTCTGCTTGGTGTTTGTGGGCAGGGCCAGCTTGCTTGGTGTGCAACCCCAGCTGTCGCAGAGGGTCCACACTGGTGAGCTGCTGCCCACCTTGACATTCTCATTAATTTGGAACCAGGGGCTCCACACTGTCACGTTGGCCTGGGCCCCACACATTCCATAGCCAGTCCTGCTTTGTGCATCTGTGTTAATAGCCCCTGGCTTGTAACAAAGACACCCTGGGCAGTGAGCGTCAGGGCCGGGAAAGGCTTTCTCTGAGACAATCATGCTCCTTCTGGACTGAAGACCAAGCAAGGTGAAGAAACAAAGAGCTGAGAGAAGGCAGTGGAGGAACGGGGTCTTTCCAACCTCACAGAACACAAGGAGGAATGTTCTATGACGATTGCGTGAAACAGATCAGGAAACTGCAGTCTGCAGTGGGCCTTGGTACCTCACCCAGGAGGCCCATAGATCGGATGTGGCACTCATCTCTTCTCTCCCTGTGCAGGCACAGAGCTGGCCCAAGGCAGGGGCTCAGTCACAATCTGTCAGCACCTTGAAAAACTGCCTAGCATCACGTGCCCTGGTCCCCGGTGAAGAGTTCCCACAGGCCAGGTGTGGCGGCTCATGCCTATAATCCCAGCACCTTAGGAGGTTGAGGCAAGAGGATCACTTGAGCCCAGGAGTTTAAGACCAGCCTGGGTAACATAACAAGGCCCAATCTCTACAAAACATTGAAAAAAGTAGCCGGGCGTGGTGGTGTGCACCTGTAGTCCCAGCTACGTGGGTGGCTGCAGCAGGAGGATTGCTTAAGTCCTAGAGGTAGGGTGTACAGTAAGCTATGATCACACTACTGCACTCCAACCTGGGAGACAGTTAGACCCTGACTGTATTAGTCCATTCTCACACTGCTATAAAGAACTACCTACTGGGTAATTTATAAAGAAAAGAGGTTTAACTGGCTCATGGTTTCGCAGGCTGTACAGGGAACATGGTGGGGGAGGCCTCAGAAACTTACAACCATGGTGGAAGGCAAAGGGGACGCAGGCACGTCTTACGCGGCTGGAGCAGGAGGAAGAGAGGGAAGGGGGAGGTGCCAATACTTTTAAACAACCAGATCTCATGAGAACTCACTGTCATGAGAACAACAAGGAGGAAATCCACCCCCATGATCCAATCACCTCCCACCCAGCCCCACCTCCAACACTGCGGATTACAATTTGACAGGAGATTTGGGCAGGAACACAAATCCAAACCGTATCACTGACTCTAAAAATCAAAATCAGAATAAAAAGAAGAGAAGAGTCCCTACAAAGCCCTGCCAAGGCCCCGAGCATGGCAAGAAGAGTCTTTCTTAAGTGGCGCCTCTGAGCCAGGGTTGGCAGATTTAGCAAATGAGAATACAGGGCACCCAGTGAAATGTGAACTTCAAATAAATAATGAGTAATTTTTCCGCAAAAAGTATGTTCTATGCAAGGAAACCTTTCCATGCACTATTTGCGATACACTTATACCACAAAATTATTGGTTTATGTGAACTTCCAATTTCACTAGGCATCCTTATATTTTCTCTGGCAAGCCTCTTGTGACCACCAGGTGGGAGATGGAACCGTGGAGCATCTATGCCAGCAGGGGTCCCTCAGGGCCACTCCAAAGTCACAACAAAGTCTTCTCGTCCAAAGCCACCTCTGATGAGCGGCCTCAGTGGGGGACCTTTCTCCAGAGGGGTGGCAGCTCTCAAACACTGCTGAGAGCCACTCCAGTGTCACCATCAGTCCAGCTGGTGGCTACAGTCTCACAGCCTGGCAGGAGGTGGGCTATGTACGAATGAGAGAAGACATTTAGACAACGTTGTCCCAGGATCCTACAACCCAAGCTGGGGCCTCTGCTCACCCAGTCTGAATGCTGGTTCTGCTCCTTGGAAGGCAAGTTTCAACCCACCATTAAACAATGAGATGCTTTTCCTTGGAAGGTGGTTAACATGCCAGGTTAGCGCCCAATGGAGCTCATGAAGCCTAGTTTTTCATCTGCACAAGAAACCCTCGAGGCAGCTTGGGAGACTCTATCACAGGAAGACAAGAAATGAGCTCATCAGCCCTGAAAGAACTTGTGAAGGTTTTTCTTTTTTTTTTTGGAAGGGAAATGCTCAAAACACTAAAGCAATGAGGAGCGATCAGAGATGGTCCTTCCTGCTGTATGTGGGGTGCTGCTACAGAGCCCAAGGAAGGTGACCCTCCCACCCCCAAAATGAAGGTTAGAGAATTCCATCCATGAGTCTGATCTGCCTCTCTCACCCGGGTCTCAGAGGCCCCTGGAGGAATCCCAAGTCCCTTCCAAGTGCTCACCCCTCACAATAGCCTCTCCCTGGAAACCTAAGCCAGGTTCTGCTCTAAGAACATCCAATATGGCAGCAACTGGAATTTTTTGAAAATCTGATTTATTTCAATAATTTTTGGGGGTACAGGTGATTTCTGGTTACATGAATGAGTTTTTTTGTTTTGTTTTTGTTTTTGTTTGAGACTGTGTCTCACTCTGTCGCCCAGGGTGGAGGGCAGTGGCATAGTCTCAGCTCACTGCATCCTGCGCCTCCCAGGTTCAAGCAATCCTCCTACCTCAGCCTCCCAAGTAGCTGGGATTACAGGCACACACATAGCCATGCCTGGCTAATTTTTGCATTTTTAGTAGTGACGACTGGTCTCGAACTCCTGACTTCAAGTGATCCACCCACCTCAGCCTCCCAAAGTACTGGGATTACAGGCATAAGCTACTGCACCCGGCCTTGAACGAGTTCTTTAGTGGTGAATTCTGAAACTCTAGCGCCCCCTTCACCTGAGCAGTGTGCATTGTACTCAAATATGAGGTCATTTATCCCTCACCCCTTTCCCTACCTCCCCCACGCCTGAGTCCCCAAAGTCCACTATATCACTCTGTATGTATTTGCATGCCCGTAGCTTAGCTCCATTTATAAGTGAGAACACACGGGATTCGGTTTTCCATTCCTGAGTTACTTCACTTAGAATCATGGCCTTTGGCCCCATCCAAGTTGCTGCAAAAGACATGATTTCGTTCCTTTTTATGGCTGATAGTATTCCACGGTGTACATACACCACATTTTATTTATCCACTGACGTCTGTGACATCTTCACTCACACTCCGTTCTCAGAACTTCCCCTGCCCTGTGTCGCTACAGCACATCCAAGGCTGGTCACTGAATTTCAGAAAGGTGAGGCACTTGCACAAAGGGTCAAGACTAGCAGGTGGCTGAGCAGGCCCTTCCATCAGGCAGCCTCCCCCAGTACAGAAGACAACTTTCAGCCTTCCAAAGAAAAACCCATGGGTTCCTCTACACCAGGCTTCCCCAAAGCGAGGTTCACTTCTTTGAGATTCTACTTCTAGGCTGGCTTTAGCAGAAGCCATTTGCCCTGTGAAAAGGAGGAAGCCTGACACCCGGGTGCAATGGCAGGCAGGGCTGCCTGACTCATTCTCCACCCCGGGCACTTTTCCCTCAGGTCTCACTCTGACCCTAGAGGTGCAGACACCTTGGCCTGAATTGCAGCACAGGACTCGGCAGAAGGTGACCTGAGAGGTGTGGAAGATCCAAGAATAATTCATGGAAGGCTATATTCTCGCCTGTGACTGTGTTTTGTTTTCTTACATTTATATTGTGAATGGTTTTTTTTTTTTTTTTTTTTGCGGGGGGGACAGGGTCTCGCTCTGTCACCCAGGCTGGAGTGCAGCGGTGCAATCCCTGGTTCAAGAGATTCTCCTGCCTCAGCCTCCCAAGTAGCTGGGACTACAGGTACGCTCCACCATACCTGGCTAATTTTTGTATTTTTAATAGAGACAGGTTTTGCCATGTCAGCCAGGCTGGTCTCGAACTCCTGACCTCAGGTGATCCACCTGCCTCGGCCTCCCAAAGTGCTGGGATTACAGGTGTAAGCCATCACGCCTCACTGAAAAAATTTAAATAAGGCAAAAAGCAGTGCAAATTTTAATGAATCCCCACAATACTTTGTCTG